CTGATGCCCAAAGTTCAAACAGGAAAGATCTATGTAGCTCACAGTTTGTAGGGTTTCAGTCCACAGTTGGCTGGCTTCACGGCAGGGTAGCATCACAGAGGAGAAACAGTTCATGGTGGGCAGAAGGCAGCAAAGCAACAAGGGAACCACAACTACTTCTACCCCTTATATCTTACCCAGGCACTCAGGGCAGGCAACACTCACACCCTTACTCCTAGTGCCCTTGATCCTAGCGTGCACCATGAATCAATGCCAGTGTTATTCTCGATCCAGGCACCTCTGGAAAAGCCACATCCATGACCACATGATGCGCTGGGGGGAACATGTAGACACAGCCATAGCAGGGTGTAAGCTTGAAGTCATACATCCTTTGAATTGCAGAGGATATAAAAATAGGTGAGAAAAAAAGGTTCTTAGAACAACAACTAGGGTGTGTGAATGAGTGTTAAATAGTATCTTCTGTTATGAACTATAGTAAAAACAAGAAGGATTGGAACAGACAGCTCACTGAATGGTGCCCAGTAATTTTTGAAAATATGTATGTCTATTCTCTTTGTCCCCTCCTTCCTGTACCCACTTGGGTGACCAGGCAGCTGGGGACACAGTGGTGAATATGTGTGTACAATCTTTCACTTCATTCACCACAACCCAAAGAAAAGAGTGATTCTGAGCTTCCTTTGATTTCTCCATCAGTTGTATCCGAGAAGTGAAGGTTGATATTTGTGATGCCCAAGCCTGTGGGGTCAAGTGTATGGATTTTGTGAAAGCTTTGTTTTGTTTATCTCCCTCAATAACCCAGACCATGACCTTGATTCCTCCCTTGGATAGGGCAGTGGGAGTAGTTCACCCTACATGATAAAAATGTACAGAGAGAAGGAATGAGAGGGATGCTGTGAACTGTGCCCACTGGAAGAAAAGAATATTAGGTGGACCAGCTGGTCCTGGGTGGAAACAGGACTGACCCCGCCCCCAGATGGACACAGGAAGTAAAAGGCATGGCTCTGCAGCGTGCACCTAGAAGGGAGGAAGAGAAGCCACTCTTCACCCACCCCCAGGGGCTGCCTCCTCACCCTGTCCCACCCCACACACCCCGCCCGTCTGCTGCTGCCCTTGTGTGGAGAGAAGGGGGTCATTCTTACAAGGGAGCAGCACAAAGGAGCCAGTAGAGGAGCTGGGGGGAACAGATGTCTTGGTTTCCTCCCTGGGCTCCTTAACATTGCTTCCAGCTTCATTAGCCAGATGTGCTACCTCACATCTGCATGGGATTCTGGGGGCTGAGCAGACACCTCCAGGCCCTGTGAAGCCTCTGTGCCCTCTCACAGCCCTCCTGCTCTGTGGGAGCCATAGGAAGCCCAGCGGTCAGCCTAATGAGCTCTCCTGGGACTGGAAGAACTGCAAAGGCAGGGTGGAAAGGAAGGAGAAAGAAAGGTTATCACTGCCACCCAGAACCCAGCCCAGCTGTCATCCCTGGAGAGAGCAGCGGCATGGGGAGGGGTGGAAGAGGAGAAGGAGAAATACTGGCCCAGTATCGAAAGATGCAGATGATCTAATAATCTGAATATTTAAATCTAAATAAATCAAATATATTCGACGATGGCTCCCAATCAGCCACCTTGCCCAGGATTCTGTGCTGTTCAAACACCTAACAACAGCCCAGTTGCCCCCAATTCCAGGTCAGCTGGGAACCCTAGGATGACCTCTGCTCTCACCTCCCTCCTCCATGAAGGAGGGAACTTCTCACACAGGATCGTGTGACAGGATTGTGGTCATAACTCTATGACGTAATACTTGTAGGATACCCCCCCAGGTGGATGCACCTAGTCATTAGCAAGCATTTCCATTACTGATTACTGCTTCAGAGAATTTTATACAAGACAGAACTCCAAACCTGTCAGTTTTCACAAGCCCTAAGTTTTCTCTTCATTGATTAAGAAAAACACTTAAGAACAAATAGTCTCTCTGCATTTAATAAATCTTTTTAACAAATTTGTATTTTTAATAAATTTTGTATCTAAATAAATCTAAATTTAAATATCCAAATATGTAAATTATCAAGTAATCTAAATAAAATTGAATAATCTAAATATTTCAATCCAAACAAATCAAATGTATTCAATCTTTTTAATAAATTTGCAGTTTTAAATAAATTTGTATTTTGCTAGCACAAAGAGCAGCTGCATATATTTAAAACATCAGCGTGTGTAGGAGAGTGTGGAATTTAGTCGGCCCTCCCTTCTGCCAGCCTGCTAACAAGTGTGTGGATTTGCAAACACGTCGGAGCAGCTGAAGGTCTCTTGGCCTCACCGGCCTCCAGGTCAGGGAACAAGTAACCCCTCAGGGTGTTCAGCAGCTACGCGCCCATCACCAAAGCCAGCACCACCTGCAGGGTTCACGTTCACACCTCATGCACAGAGTAGCACCTGGCTTCCCAGCCAGAGATGAAGAGGAGGAAGGCAGCATGCACGTGCTCAGAGTCTGCAGACTCGCCTCATTTTGATGCCAGTATGTTCGTGTATTTTGACTGCAATCTTTCTAATGCATTTTCTCGTTTTCCCCGTCTTTCTTAAGAGCACTTAGAATGTAATGAAATACGTTTTTATCAAACCAAGATCTTCAACTTTAATTACCAGGTTGAACTGTTATATGTGGTGCTGCGTCCAGAGGCTGAGGTGCATGGAGGTTTGGCCTCCGTCTGAACTTCTCCAGGCTGCTGTGCCTCTGGAGCTTCTCTAACCGCCCCACACCATCCCGATCCTTTCCTCAAGCCTCCCTCCTCTCTTGTGGACAGTGTCAGTGCTGCACTCACGTGAACAGGCTGAGCAGAGGCCTTCCGATCACTCACCAGGCACCATTCCAGCCCATAGCAGTGGCTCTCGTTTACTGAGAGTCTTCTAGGCCTCAGGCGCTGTCTTCCAAGCACACTCTGAGCCCTACCTTACTTAATCATCACAATTACCCTCCCAGGATGGATAACAGTATCCTTGCTTTAACTTTGGAAATCCAGGTATGGAATATTGAAAAACACTCCCGAGGTCACACAGGAGGAAGGGGCAGTGACTGATCCAGCTCACTCAGCCATTTGCATTTCAGCACATCGAGCCCATTGCACCCGGAGACCTATTTAATAATAAGGTTGGCTTCTGGGTTCGTTCATCTCTTTCATTCATTCATTCATTCATTCGTTCACTCTTTCCTCATTAAACACTACTCATAGGCGGGAAGTGAAGTCACCTCTTAATGTAAGCATGCAGGACAGAGTTTATGTGTCGCGGGCCGGCGACGCAGAGCAATGTCCAGCAGTGTCTCCAACCTGAAAGAGCAGCGGGGTGGAGATGGGGCAGAGAGAAAGGAAGGACGCCAAGAGTCTGATCAAGGCGACGTTTATTGCAGGCAAGCATCAGCCTTTTAAAGGCACATCAATAGGAAGCACCTGATTCAGACAGATAACGTCAGATCTTTAACAGGAAGCGCCTGACTCCTATAGATAACATCAGATCTTTGGCTGTCCGAGTTTCTCCCGTGCAGGGTCACAAACAAGTTTAACACGTGCAGTCCTTAAAAAGGAACAAATGTTAACACATGCTAATTAGGAACATCCTGACCACACGTTGTGTCAATGCCTTGATTACAAAGAAAGAAGTTATCTTTCAAATGTCGAATGCCAGTGGACCATGACTGGCTCCCACATTTGTCTTCAAGAAACTCATGGATAGATAAACAGCGTCAAATGCACAGAGCTATATGTCTAGTTGTGTGGATTAGCTAGATATATAATTTGCTTATTAGTGTGCCTGTGTGGGAAGCCAGTCATGGCCCACTGGCTTTTTGAAAGATAACTTCTTTCTTTATAATCAAGGCTTTGACACAACGTGTGGTCAGGATGTTCCTAATTAGCATTTGTTAACATTTGCTCCTTTTTAAGGACTGCACGTGTTAAACTTGTTTTTGACCCTGCACGGGAGAATCTCGGACAGCCAAAGATCTGTAGGAGTCAGGTGCTTCCTGTTAAAGATCTGACGTTAGCTGTAGGAGTCAGGTGTTTCCTGTTGATGTGCCTTTAAAAGGCTGATGCTTGCCTGCAATAAACGTCGCCTTGATCAGACTCTTGTCTTGGCGTCCTTCCTTTCTCTCTGCCCCATCTCCACCCCGCTGCTCTTTCAGGTTTGAGACACTGCTGGACAGTGCTCTGCGTCGCCGGCTCGCGACATGCCTGGGCTACTATCACAATCTGGATAGTTTTGAAGTAGGAAACTGAGGACCCTGGACAGAGCACTCTTAACATGAAGATAGAAGCAAAAGGCGGCTTTCCGTGCCAGCGGCTCAGCTAGTGACCCGTCAGTGTCAAGAGAGCAATGGATAGAAACTTGCTCTTCTCTCTGTACCTCTTTTTACATCTACAAGGCTCACCTTCATGGGCCTCTCCCTGGGAATGTACAGAGGAGGATTCATACAAAACAGAGCAGTGGAGAAGAAGGGAGCAAAGAGCTCCATCAGGGCTTTCTGAGTCTGTGAGGCTCCTTTGGTGACAGATGAGAGAAATTGTCGTGGCTGCCCAGGTACATTCTACGAAGAACATTGTCACCTCATTAACCCACAGTTGCCCAATTCCATATGGAAGGGTGGCTTCCTTCCTCAGTTTAAATAGCAGAAATTCTGATGAAGAATTTTTGAAAAAAATCCAAAGTTCTGATGGCTGAAAGTCAGCGGTCAGGGTGTCTGAAAGCTGGGCCCACTGTAAGCCTAGGAGGGTGATCTGTCCATGTCTCTAGGCTTCCAGGGGTTTGCTGGTCATCTGGAAGTCCCCGGTTTCTTATTTGCACCATTTCAAACTTCCTATTCAGCTTCTTATAGTGTTCTCCCCGTGTGTGTGTGTGTAGGTCTTTGTGTTCGAAATTCCCTCTTCAGGAGAGTCGTGCTGGATTAGGACTCATCCCACTGGCCTTCTTAATTTGTCCCACTGTAAGCCTAGGAGGGTGATCTGTCCATGTCTCTAGGCTTCCAGGGGTTTGCTGGTCATCTGGAAGTCCCCGGTTTCTTATTTGCACCATTTCAAACTTCCTATTCAGCTTCTTATAGTGTTCTCCCCGTGTGTGTGTGTGTAGGTCTTTGTGTTCGAAATTCCCTCTTCAGGAGAGTCGTGCTGGATTAGGACTCATCCCACTGGCCTCATCTTAATTTGATCATCTGTAAAAGAAAAACAAAGCAAAACTGTTTGTAAATAAGATCACATTCGTAGGTACTGGGGGTGAGGATGTTGAAGTCCTTCGGGGGTGGGGGTGGGGTTGGGGTGGACAGGATTTGACTCATAGCATTGTGCAAGGCCATAAATGGGACACCAGAGCCGTGGGATGACTCTGTCCTACACCCTCTTCGTAAACCCCTGGCAGATCCTTAATAAGTGTTTATTGAACCTATTGGTGACATAGTGATAAGGAAAAATTACAAATGAAAGTGACTCCAAGCACAAAGCAACAACTAGAGTAGAAGTCGTGATCTGGCCAGCCTCACTGGACCTGGACATGCTTGGGTTTGTCCTCACCATGATTTTAGGGAAACAGAATAAGATGGGCATGATGCAAGGAGAATCAGTCCTCACTTAGCCCAAGGTTCCATCCTCCGCCCTGCAGGAAGGAAGGAAGCTAATCAATAATTAATGACTAAGAGAATTCATTTAAAAACTGGGATCACCACCCTCTTTAGAAAAATCACATTCGCATGGCAGCAATCACCATGGAAGCAGCTGCCCCTCTAGGCAGAGCCCACTGCCACCCTCCAACCCCTGCCTCTCGCTGGCCTGAAGCTGAGAGCCGGTACCAGTTTCTACCAAGCTTGTGCTGTGATTTTACCTACACCCAGGTTGCTTTGAACATTTGTTCCCATCACATGCCTGGGCCCCACGGATATCTGTGTTTGTGACCCTCCACACTGAAAATAACTACTGTAGCTAATACGGACAACTTGCCATGCCAGACCCTGCCTCGGTGTTTTGTGCACATGCATTCATTTGCTCTGAAGCCGTCACTAAAAAGTAGAAGGTGTTACTTTTCTTAACCAAAGAGAGAAACAAGGGACCAAGAGATGAAGTCATGCACCTTATGTCTCACAGCTAAGAAGTGCCAGTGGGCGGCAAACCCAGACCCTGGTTCTGAGGTCTGCCTTCCCCATGGGGCAGTCTGGCAGGTGATCTCCCCATGAGCACTTCCAGATTGAAAACAGAAACACAGATTTAGTTCATGCTGTCAGCCCCTCAGTCCACTCTGCCAGGATAGTGCTAAACTGCTCTAGGCAGACAACAGAGGTGAGAAATGCGGCTTCCATTTCATTATAATAGCTGACATTTGTCAAGCATGTGCCCACACCCTGACCATATGCTATTTCTATTTTACAGATGAGGAAGACCAAGACTCAGGGAGGAACACACTCCTGAGGAAGTAGGCTTATTCCTGCGCCGGTGCAAAGTCATCTCACAGTTCCGGCACCCAGGCCAGCCAGAAGGGGAGAAACATCCACAGATACCCTTGCTCCACACTGCAGGAGTCCGGGCCAGAGAAGAGAGCCCTGGCCCCGACTTCGGCCCTGTCAATCCTCGGGCTTCAGCCCTGCCTCCTGCAGTCACCTCTCTCCACCGGGGGGCCCACAGGCTTCCAGCAGCATGGCTGCCCTGAGGCTCCATCTACCCCAAGCCCCCAGGACAGTGGGCACTTCTCGAGGCATCCGTCCTTCTGGCCCCGGTGCATCTGCACCTGCCTTGGAGCTCTTGTCCAGTCTGCTCAGTACTCACTCGTTGTGCCCCTGACAGCACGACAGCCTCTCCCAGGGAAGCCCCCATGGCTTTGAATTTGCGTAAAGGGACTGCTGGGTACTTTTTGAGGCTCTTCTGCAGCTCTGAATTCGGAGACATAATCCAAACTCACAGACATCACTTACTTTGTGTGCGGAACAAGACCCCAGTCCAACCCCACCTCTTCCTCCTCGAGGTGGCCAGGCTGGGGTGTCTTATAGCTCTGTCTCCATTTCCTCATATACAAATAATTTCTCTGTGTAACAGGACCACCTCCAAAGACAGTGGGGAGGATGGCGTCCTCATGGACCCTGGATTCTGGCTTACTACGGTTTGTCTAGGTGTCCCCCCAAAGCCTCATGTGGATGAGGTGGGGCATTCTTTCCCAGAGGTAGCTGAATCTGGACTGTGTGATGCTGGGATTCAGGGTGTGTGATTACTAAACTGCTACAAGAGACTGGTTGGTTTGGCACCGCCCTGATCCTGGTGGTCTGGGTGGGATGCAAGGGACAGGGCAATGCTGTTAAAGCCCCTTGGTGCCTTTGCTACCTTGTGTGTGCCTTGTTGTTTCTCCTCTGCAGTGCCTGTTTGCCATCCCTGTCTTGGAGCCGGCCGACTATGGACTGAAACCTCTAGGAACTATACTCCAATCAAACCCCTTTAACTTTGGGCATTGGGTATTCTGTCTCAGCAAGGAGAGAAAAGTAACCAAGACATGGCCCATACTGAGCTCCTTCTCACTGTCCCTTCTCAGGCAGAAACTGGAAACCCCAAACCACTGATCATAATGACAAAGCAATTAGAGGGTTCCAACTTGTAAATCCATATTAAGTAATTTCCTTACAATGCCTCCAGGTTCAGGAAAATCGCAGACCTAGAAGTTCATTGATTTGCACAAGAAACATAATTAGCTCAGCCTCGGAGTGATTTTTTTTAAACTAGTGGTTCCCAACCCTTGCTGTATTTTAAAATTATCCAAGGAGCATTTAAAGAAATAGACGATTACAGAAGTTTCACCCACCCACTTATTAATACGTGTGATGGCGTCACTAAGTGTGGGGCTGTTCTTTCCCAGTGCACATTCTGACCATCCTGGCTGCTCCTTTGCCTTCTTCAACCAGGCCTCTTGCCCACAGTCCCCTTCTTGCTCCTGGGGGACCACAGTGCACTGTCATGCCCTCAGCTGCCAGCCTCACTTGGCTCTTGCTTCCAGTTTAAGGGCTTCCCACCTTCAGAATGACGGCCACGGTCATTGTGGCCACTTTCTGAGCTTGTGACACCTGCTGGCCTCTGTCCTGCATGTCCCCAACCACTTCCTGATGGGCTCTACTATTCTGGCTTCAGAGGTGGGTGGCAAAAATTTCCCATTGTCCTCATTATTGTCATCATTTTTCTCCAGAAGAAATTAGAACAGTCCAGGATCCGATCTGAGATGTAACCCTGATGTCTCCTTTTTTTTTTTTTCACTCCCTGGGATAGAAATCAGGACCTTGTACTTACAAGGCAGGCACAGTGCCACTGAGCTAAATCCCCTGCCCCGACAGCTCCTATTTTTGACAATAGAAAACGAACTCTGCCATCTCTGCCCTCCCAGATTCATTTCCCCAGGGAGGACGTAACCCTTGACTTTAGCACCAGCAAGTACATAATGTGGTTTCAAAACTTAAATTTTTAAATGTTCAAAAATTCAGAGCAGAGGATTCTGAGCCCAAGCAATGAAAAGGAAAACCCTAAAGATATTCATGGTTTATTGCAGAAATCTTCGGGTGTTCAGGTGAATTCACTCCCTCTGGACAGTCTCACCTAATCTTAACTGTAATAATAAAATTATAGTAAAACTGTCCCAAGCCCCACATGTTCTAGGACACCCTGTCCACAGTGCCTCAATCGGTGCTGGCTGTCTGACAGTCTTCTCCCAGGAATCTGGGAGAGATGGTAACTTAAAGGTTTGGCCACCACCGGGGAGAGTGAGGCCAAACATCCCAGCTGAGCCGAGCGGAATCATGGTGGTAGCGCTCATGCAGACCAGGCCTCTGCTGCTGCTCTTCTCCTGGACAGGAGCCTGTCGCCTCACTTCACTGTGGCCAGAGCATCCGGGTTTTGCTTGCAGGTGCATATGCTCTTCATAACTTAACCTATCTCTGGGCGCTTTTGCTCCTAGCAAGTATATGATCTCTGCAAGAAATTGACTTTGCTTTCAAAAAATAAATAAATAAAATGAGCCTCCTTTGGAAAAATGTGCCTGACCTCAAACCTGAGCTCCTGATAGCACTCTGAGCATAGTCAGCACCCAGACAGCAGGGTGCGAGCTTTCTCTCCACGTCCAACCACACCCAGGGCAGTGTGAGCTGAGGATGGCAGGCCTGGCCCAGCCTATCGTGGAGAGAAGGGTCGGGATTGAGAGCAGGAAGCCTGGCTTGGACCCAGGAGGAGAAGGCAGAAGGAGAAGGAGCCCGCTGCTGTCCGTGCCTGCTGCACACTTGCTGCCTGTTTTCTGGCTGCCACAAAGGCAACCTAGGTAGTTTTCCACCCTGGGTACTTCATCCCTGGGGGCTGAGGAGAACAAAGTCCCCACTGCCAGGCCGCTTGTGGATCACGGGAAGGGTGCCCTCGTCCAAGGAGAGCTATCACTAAAGAAAAGCTGTAAAAGACATGAAAATGGCCAGAATACAATGACTTTTGAAAGTGTTCTGTATCTGGATCTAATGTGTGGCGTGTGTGTGTGTGTGTGTGTGTGTGTGTGTGTGTGTGTCCCTACACTTACTGAGTGTCCTCAACGTACTTCACTTTTCTCAGCCTTAATTTCTTCATCCATTTTTAAAAAGGAAAGGAAAATAATATTACTGCTGCAGGGTCGCTGTGGATTTACAGTAAGCACTTGATGTGCAGAAGTAGCTTCTGAAAGGTTAACTCGGCTTTCCTCCCTACTCCAGCTCCACTGGCCATGAAACTGAAAGAAAGATGGTGATCTTGGCCCTGCTGCTGAAGAAGAAGGAAGCCAAAAAGGTGGTCAGTCCCCCATTGGAGAGAGGACCTAAGATATCTGAAATTGGATAGGACAACATCACCTGCTCCAACAAATGGCCCTGCTACATCCGGCTGCAGGAGCAAAGAACTCTCCTCTGTATGCAGCTGCGAGTGTTTCCCCGGACGGACCTGGGGCTGCCAGATGGCCATGCGACTGTGTGCGCTGCCCGTGAGTACAGGCCAGAGCCACCGAGAAAAGGAGAGGAGAATATTGGCTACGGCTGAGAAGACAGCAGCTGGCAAGGGAGATGGCCCCAGCGGAAGGCCACCGACCCTTCCACTGTCACCACCCTGCCGGAAAGCGGAAAAGTCAGCTGGCAGTGACTGCACGCGGCATGGACCTGCTGACTCCACTGTCTCTGCCCACCGTGGCCAT